GAAAATGTAAAAGCTAAAATTCAAGATAAAGAAGGAATCCCACCAGACCAACAAAGATTAATTTTTGCTGGTAAACAACTAGAAGATGGGCGTACACTTTCTGACTACAACATCCAGAAGGAGTCTACTCTCCATCTTGTACTCCGTCTCCGTGGTGGAATGTAAATCTTTGTAGTTATTCAAGAGATTAGGTGGGAGTTTGATCAGATTAGTCTTTCATGGGAAACAATTAGAAAATAGTCATACTCTTTCGGATTATGATACTCAAGAAGAATCTCTACTATTTCTTTACAAGGATGCTGAATTGTATCTACTATACCACCATTTAAAATATACAAGCCATAATTTCAAAAAAGAAATGTATATCCCTCTAGACCAGCAGAGATTGATCTTAATTCAAAAATCTTAAAGAAATGACAATTATATAGTATTCAGATTAGTATAACATCCGAAAGGAATTCACACATTACTTAGTCTTTCGTCTCATAAGAGAAAATTCAATTCTGCCTATTAACCCTTTTAAATGTTGCTCGCGAAACCATCAATGTACATTAATGTACGCTTGATTAAATTTTTTTTTTTAAATTTATTACTTTAAAGACGAACTTTTTTTTAATAAACAAAATATATATTGTTAAATTTAAAACCAAAGTTATTATATTATGTATTTAATTATAAGCTTTTCTAATGTATATTTTTTAATTTGTTCTTATATTCCCAACAAAATATTTAATAATATGTCAAACTTTGAAGAAATTGTCAAAATATCTCTATCAGTCTTTCTAAAAAAAATATTAAACCATTCTCTCTGCCCCCCCCCCCACCTATTCTTAATGCAATTATATTAAATACCTGATCAATTTATATTTTGTGTTGCATTTTTTTTAACACGTCTTTATTTATAATCACCGTATCTTTTAAGTTATAATAAATTCGTTTTTCTTTTTTTTTTTTTTTTTAAATTCACAAATTATTAACTTGTATTATAAAGTCATTTTCATACAACGATAGTAAACGTATTTTCTTATTTCTATAATAAAAGTTGTTCATTTTTCATCATTTTCAATTTAAGACATTTGTGAATTAATTAAGGAACTTCTAAACGCATTTCGTATAAATTGATGGATATTTGAGAGCGCATATATACGTCATTAAATAATTTCAATGTAATACTTGGATGGAATAAAATTCTAGAAGCAAACGTATCATTGTTATTAGACTTTTATTCCTAATAATTTTTCTTGTATTGTAATTTCTTATTGTGATTTTAAAAATAATTTATTTAATGTATTTTTATGTGTATTAATATCAATAATAATTTTCTTAATAATATGTATATATTACTTTTTATATATTATTTCAAAATTGATAAATATAAGTATATATATTTATAATTATATATTTATGTATATATA